CAATAGCTCTACACAGAAATCAAATTTATCAGGGAGTAAGACCTCCATCAAGAGATATGGAAAACTACAGTCTTAAGATAGACTACAAAAATAAATGTCAAAAAAGGTTACTGAATTGGAGGGTACTTTGAAGGATAAAAAACTGAAACAGCAGCCTGGGTAATTCGAGGTTGTATGATTTCATAGTATTCCTACCACAAAATGACTAATGTCCCAAGTGAGATGAAGACTTCATTCCCCCTCACTATGGAGCCATCCTGAAGTGACAGCTTGTAAAAAGAAAATTAGTTTCTTTCGGCCCAGAGACAACACTAAGGTGTTTTTGGTATGGCACTAAGAATAGCTGAATACTGCTGCTTAAGAAGAACAGAAGTACTCCCATAGCCAAACCGAACAATACTAGAAATCCTGCTAGTCTGGAAAGGCACCATTTGAACCAGGGAGGATGAAAAAACCTAAATATTATTTCTAGTTTAAATTCTCACCTATTAAATGGAAGTTGTGATTTGAAATGCCTCTGTGGATTTGGGTTAATCTGCGTGGAACACATGTGGCTGTGAGAGTATGGCTATAACATTACATAACCTGTTGTGTCCCAAGCATCTTATTTCATTAACAAAGTTGAAGGGGAATCAAACAGAGTACAAGAAAATTACAAAAATAGAGATCAGGAGGGCTGTCAACACTACTTGGGACAGAAAAATGGAAGGATACAGGCATTAAAATAGTCTGTAGAATTAATATGGAATTTGAAGAAAAAGTCACAGTAAATTCTAAGGAGAAACTTGGGAAACAGCAATAGTGAAAGATACCTTAGGGAATTGGGAAAAGTCAGGTGATATAAAATTTGCAATTGGTAATGATTATAAAAACACTGGTGCAATTTTGAATTGAATATACAAAGACTTTATATCACAGCAGAATAGAGACTTTCTTCTCTCCAGACATGGCTTTTGTGTGGCTAGGTTTGGTGTATTTTGATCATTCTGAGCATGCATTTTTTTTTCAGAAAAATGCTGACAAATAGGAGGGAGTAACAGAGAACAATGATTTGTTTTCATGGAGTACAGAACTTTGATGAAAGACTAAACAATATGCATGTATTGTCACATTAAATGAAAACAAGTATGTGTCTAAATACATTTAAAAACAGTCTATAAATATTGAAGAATATAATCAGCAAGAGTCAAAAGGAGCATTTGTAATTTTTCCAGAGCATTGGAAAAGAAGGAAGACTGTAAGGAAACCTCTGTCTGGCTTTACATGATGGAAAAGAGATCTTCTATGCTTCTTCTAAAGTCTTACTTTAAAATTTTGGGCTGACAATTATCTGCAGTGTGGCCGAACTATTTGTGAACACATAGAGCAACACAGCTCAAAGATGTCAGTCGAGGCACAATAACTTCACTTCTGTTGCTATTTCTTGTAGGGGGGCAAACAAGACTTGCAAGCCACACTAGAGATAAAAGATAAGAAAACAGCTAGAAGACTCTGTTAGGGGCAGATAAGTGAATTTTTTTGATGTACAATTTTGTAAAAGAATAAATGTAAAAATAGAGAAGACAGAAGACAAAATAGAAAACTGTGCAGAGCAACTATATACATGAGATTTTTCTTTTCTCCCTTGTATTGACCAACAGCAATAGAGAAAATATATTTCTATATCAAAGGATACTTAGTGATCATTAAAAATGCTGCCACATTATTTAAATATTTTCACAAAAGTTAATGTATATTATCATTAACATTCTGTACGATCTGTAGCTGTCTACCGCTCAAGTATTGTAGTTCCAAGGAAAAAAATGTTTGCTTCTGGAAATATAAACCAAAAGTTCCCTAATTTACTTTGTCCATGTGTAAAGCCCTGACCTCTGTCCACCACCAAACACTTTTTAAATCAAGCAGCAGACTGTATGACCGCTTCCAGTATGGATTTAAACACAACCCCCATAAATTATAGGCAAAATAAGATAGTCAAAAAAGTGTGGTTGTATCTACAAAATTAAGCCTACACTTTTGTTTTAAGTCCAAAGGCGAATGACCATCAACTGCCTGCACAATAGATGAATTACAGCATCCACTAATAACATCTACAAGACAGTTTCCGTCAAATTCAGCCACCCATTGGGTGAATTTTATTTTTTAAATACCCACATGCATTTCATCACTTCTGGTCACATAGACAAGAAGGAGAAGGATATTCACACCGCTTAATTCAACTGACCCTCGCCCCTCACAATATGAATCATAGTAACCAATTCAAAAGCTTCTCCACACCCACGGGCTAGACCGAGGCTATAAATTTAGGGACCAGAGATAGGTAAGGAAAATCAGATATTGTGAATATCCCTAAAATAATCTATTCCATTATAAGAAAAAAATCATTACACATCATTGAAACAACTGTAATAACCTTTTATGATTCTGATATAGTGTTCAAAAGGCAAAGTGAGTGGGAAAACTAAGTAATTTTTTTTGAAACTTAATCATACATTTCTGAAGTTTCAAGAAGTTATTTTTAATACATGCATTCACTAGGCACTTAGTTTCAATTTGATCAATAGTTACAAAATTCAATTAACATTAATTCTTTGGGCTGTAAATACTCCCAGGATCTAGCTTTATCTTGTACGGTACAATAGCAGTTACGTATCTGTGCTCAGAAAAGAAAGAAAAAACATGTTTTCTATGAGTAAGAACAGGAAGATTAAGGAGAAGCAGGACTGAATCATTCCAGCTGAAATATGACCTGATGGAGTACTCTCCCTATTCTCAGGAAAAATGCTAGAACGTCTTCCAGTATCAAATTCAGTTATTACCAGTTTTAAAATCATGTCTTAAAGATGACATATCAATAGCACAATGATCACATCATTTCATTATCAGTTCAGCAATGAGAAGAGAGTTTGCTGGATGAACACCATACACAGAAGAGATTAAAACCACTTTCTACATCAATGCAAGTTTTCCTGAAGGCTTGTTATTGCGTATTTCATTTTGACATAATGAATTTTTCCATCTTGAATTGGCTGTCTCATTGACCCAAAAGGCTTAAAATATGGGGCCAAAGCTTATGCTTCTTCATATGTTTTTGTTATGACACATACCAGCAAACTAATTTTCTTCTCTTAGCCTTTGTTTGAATGAATGACCTAATAAGCCCTATGATAAGAACAAAACTTATCATTGCCACATTGTAATGAAAACTGGGATTCAATCTCTTCACGGTGATTTAGGTTTAGCCTTGCAAGTTAATCCAATTTAAATGAATGAAAAGTGAGTAAACACTGTGCTATATAAATTCTTTTTAAGTACGGGAATAACTCGACAGTCAGAACACTTAATTCTGTTATAACCAACCGAAGTCTTGCATACCTATTACATTTTAAAACAATGTATTTTTTGTCAATACAAGTTATTAATGATTTTTATATTAATGTGTTTTATTATAGAGTCTAAAGACAGTAAACAACTCAACACAAACAACTCAGATAATTTTTACAATGGCTCGCTGCAACATCAAAACCAATCAAACAAATCATTGCCACCTGTCTTAAATAATCAGTTTGAGGAACAGCAATGAAGCAATGTAAGGAAAATACTGGGTGTTTATGAGCAGAGTTCTCATTTGTTTATTTCTTGTCCCAAATGCTGCTTGAGACTCTGTGGCTGATTTTTGGTACTGGCTGCAGTGCTTCCTCTGGCACTACTGCCAAGGCTTGACTCTGCATAAAAGTAATAAATCAGGAAAATGGATGCAGAAACTCAGCCCTGCTTCTACAGAGTGCTGAGAATACAACCTTCAAAACCATGAAGTTAGTTTGCAAGTAAGAGACCAATTCAACCAATACACTTTTCACTTTCGTGTTGCTTTAGCAAAGTGACTCACAGACCCTTAGGTTTTAGTTACTTAAGGTTTCTAGTAAATAATCTAAAACATCAGAAGGAATGTACAGGAGCATTTTCTTTACATGTTTCTTTAGTTATACAAACATTATACAACAAATGATTCCTAGTGAAAAAAAGTTAAACTGCAGCCATGGCTGAGAAAAAAATTTGTAAGTAAATAGCATTGGAGGCATGTTATAATGAACTCAGATCAGCTCTAAGTTGAACGTCTAAGCAACTGAAAACTTATATGAGCAATTAAGAGAAATCTAAACATGTTATATTATGGAAATTAACACTTCAGAGACTCAGTCTTGATTCTTGATAGCGAACATAAGCAAACAAAAAAAAGTCTGTGATTTTAAAAGTTAATATTAATCTAATTTGGAACCACAAATACCAAAATAATTCAACAGCAATCACACAGTTATTTCATATTACACCTCATGACCATGAGGTTATTAGGTTAAGTTTCCTCCCCGCACCCACCCCACCTGCCCGCCCCAGCTCCTTACAAATGGGATGTAACCAGATTTCCTGTGCAATATTTACTGCTGCAGGTCACCTCCATCTCTGTGCCTGTTTACACCTTTTTGACAGCATGGTGTCAAGCAAAGCAATAGTAGCTTTGCATAGAATTTTTCCCCACTACTATCTACCTCTTACATTCTAACCTATAATGCAGTAGTTGTCAATGCAGTAGCCTGCTAGGGAGAATTAAGGGATCTCTCTTATCCCACTTTTCCTTTTGCAAGACAAAACAAAACCCACACACTTTTTTCGCTTAGCAGCATTGTACTGCAGTGCTAAGGAAAATTATGCCAAAACACTGATAGAATTTTGTTTTGGAAGGGGACTGGAAATCTGTTATACTATGGCACATCTTAGTTTGAAAACCATTTTGGGTCAAAATCCAAGGTCAGAGTAATTGTAATGTCCTATTGCTTTTTCTGCTTTAAAGTTGTATATCATTTAACCTGCCCAGAGATACTGCAAAGTATTAGGAGGAGGAAATTTCAGAGGAAATTAAAAAAAAAAAATCATCCCCCTCCCCCAAACTCATACACTTCTACACCAAAGGGCAGACATTTATTATTCCAGGACTATCTCACCTCTGGAGTGACATCTCGTGGTGCAAACCCTGTTCCTCCAGTTGTTAAAATCAAATTAAGTTCCTTTTCATCACACCAATCTATCAGCGTCTCCTGAAAGAGAACAGGAATCCTGTCAGATCTAACAAGTAATAGGTGCGATACAGTTACCTCAGAAAACAGTTGAAGACTTGAAATGTCTTAAAAACAGAGACATACACAATAAATGTGGGGAATTTTAAAATCACTCATGGCTTTTTATACAAAGATTTTTAATTACTATTTATAAGCAACATATGACAAAATGATTCAAGTATCCATCATAATATTTTTGGAAATGGAAACTGAAATTCTGTTCTCCATCTCTTTACCTGAAATGGAAAACAAGAACTCACAGTTATTCATTTATATCACTGTTTATTTTGATTTTGAGATATAATGCTTTGACACCCGTTAATAGAGTATGTGCATTTAATTCAGGTTACATGGTTGATTCTTGTTACAGTAACTTTGGTTTCTGTGCTCCACTTTTTACCAGCCTGAAAAAAGTAAGAACCACAAATTTTTAAGCTTATCTACTAAAAGATGCAATAATAAACCTGATCCAGCAACACAAAAGATTATCTATAATCATCTTTTCTATATACCCTACAACATCTCAATAGGACTGTGTACACCAATTCCAAGGCTGGACTAAGAAAGCTTAATAAATCTGTCATGTAAATTCAGTAACTTACAATACTGGAGAACTCAAGATACTAGAAAAGTGTTTAATTTGATTTGCATTCATTTTTTTACATAACACTTTAGTTTTCAAACTGATTAAATTTGACATAAACAGTAAATTTATTTAGTCTCAGTATGATTATATCACTTACCTTTCATTGTCTACTGTGGGCTAGTACAGCAGCAGACTATCTGCTTGGAGCTCAAAATTAGCTGTGTTACGTGAAGTACACTCACATATTACACAGTAAAATATCCATCTGCAGAAATCAGTCAGATCAAGTACTTACACAGCTACCCTTATTCTAGCAAAGAAACCTCATTCTTTGAAAAAGTTTAGGACCCATTTGTGTTTCTGGAGTATTATATTGGGGAGGAACGAACTGTTTTGGTGACTGTTGGCTAGAAGCTTATTATTTATCATAAAATTAGATCTGAGCAATATACCGATTCAAAAAGCATACAATATTGTTGATGGCCATAAAACTGTCCAGAACATTTTAAAAAGTAGTACCAAATTGGATTAATCTTCAGGTGTATATTCTGCAGGCTTAGCACTGCTATGTAACTCCAAATTAAGCAAAAGCTCATATACAGCCTCTTCCAAATTGCAGGCAGCATAAACTTGCATCTGCCTGCAAGCCCCAGCATGCAAATGTATCCAAGAACTACTTGTAGAAGTAGCAAAGCCAAAGGTTCTGTCTTTATGGCTCCTTTCTTTACTCATCCCTTCCACTTCCCCTTTCCCTTTTGCGTTATCTCGTCTTTATTAAAATCACATTCACCTTTTTACTCTCCTGTTTGGAGGACGGCATTCTACTTGGGTGGGCTGTAAATTACCAGAAGTTTCTGGTGATACGAATATTTCAAATAAGCTAGAGAAAAGAACTACATAATGTCTCAGACCCATATATAAATGAACTTAATAAAAATGAATTAAGTCTGACTTTTGACTTATGTTTTGAAAAAATATGAATTACAATAGTAAAAAGCATTTTTAAGTTTTAAAATTGTATATTTCAATAGCATAGATATGCATTAGAAAAATTATTTTAAAGAGGTGGCATCTTCTCTATTTTATCATCTGGAAATATACTTGTCTTGGCTTCCAACAGCCACAAATTTCAGAGAATACTTGAGAGAAGTTCAGTGTAAAAATCGTGTTTGGCAAAGTTATGAGCTTAATATTGTATATATTTTTAACATTATTATCATCAAGAAAAATTTGTCCGTATAAAACAGGAGTGAGAGATTTTGTGGGTTTTTTTTTTTAAATGAAGCATTTATCTTTAGTAAAATAAAACAAAACCAGCCAAACTCCAACTGGTTATAGAGAAAAAAAATCCTTCCTCTGTTCTCATTTCGCTACAGTTCAGCAATACTCCAGTTAACAGGGAAAAATGTCATGTGATAGCCTACAAAAAGCTAAAGAAATCAGTATACGCCCTAACTCTTCAAGTAAACTGAGCAATAATTAAATGCCTATTACTGCTATTCCATCAGTGCACCTAGGCAAACATACAATTCTCTATCAAGTTCCAGTCATACTAGACACACAAGCTTTCAGTAAGAAGACCTTTGACTATGAGGCAGTAAGTTTGGGTTTCATTGTATTTTAGAAATGTAAATTGTACCACTTAGAGCTTGTAAAACCATGGAAAAAAACTGGAGACTGATATTCAGCTTATTTACTTTCTAGCCCACAAAACTCTGTTCCACAAAACATTCTCACTGACATTTTAAGTATCAAAAAAAAGGAAGCACCACCCTGATCAATTGAGGACAAAAGGCTCCTCATATTCGCTTTGCTGCTGCCAGCAGTCCAGCTCTATTCTCCACTGGCTTTGCATAGAACTGAATTTCCTGTGTCTTCAAATGAGAATTCCTCTAGGCCAGGGACCTGATATTTGTCTTTACTGATGCTATACAAACAGAATTATTATATAACATTTCAACCAGGGAAATTTTCTTTAAATAATTTTTGTGCATCTTTCTCTTCTATTGTTTCATTGATGATAAGCATTCAAGACAAAACCAGACTAGGTCAACAGGTTATGTAAATCACTGTCACTCCATTCAAGTCAATGGAATTACGCTGATGGATACAAAACATAGTATCTGGCTCTGAAAACAGTACCATTATTGAACTACTACCAAATTTTAAGAAGCCAGAACAAAACTACACCCCGCCAGGAAAAAAAAACACCAATAAATAGCTTGCTTAATATCCTAAAATAGGCTTTATCAGTTATTTTCTAATGTCAAGGTAGACAAGGAGAAATGAAGTCACTACAGTCAATTCCTCTAGACACGTTTTTACTTCAAAACCACACAACTGTGATTCTAATCTGTTCCGATTTCATTGAAGTCCTAGAATAATTACATTCATTATTATTTTCTGCGGCACAGAAATAACATGTCAGCCCAGTTGTCTCCTTAAGCTTTGGATTAGATCTGGTGCCCTGTCCTCTCTCTACCTCTTTCTTTGTATTTTCTCTTTTAAATACATTTAAATTTTTCTCATTTAAATGAGAAAACCTCGGGTCCAACATACAATTTATTTCCAGCTCTTGCTCCAAGGAACTCTTGTTTCAATCAGTCCCCTCTCTCCCAACTTGGAACTACTTGTTCAACTTCCTACGCACTGTGCCATCTTCAAATTATTTCAGTTCTAACACTGCTCCTCAAAAACTTTGCTTATGATCCTATTGAATTTTCTCATGACCAGTGTTGATTTCACCAGTGCAGAAAAATCTTGCCTCATTCTTTCTCTTAGTCTTTCACGTGTAAATTAATTGATTTTAAGGCCAATTAAGTTCATTAAGTCATGGAAAGAATGCCTACAGTGCATGGCACAGTGCAGAGACCCTATGTTTCCTGCAGATACACGCTTGCAAATTCGTATAAGCACCATCACATTAAAACACAATAAGGCCAAAAGCTGTACAGATGTATTCTGTGGCACCACACCTAAGCTAGTGCTACCTGACATTTCAATAAGTGAATGGCTATCACACTTACAGACATATTTCCCTCTGTGGAGATAACTTAAGCATCTCAATGTCCAAGATGCAAAACTGCCATTAGTCTGAGTTGCAATCCAATGGGCAAGTCACAGAACTTTGGTCAGTTCCTCCTGTATTTAAATTTAATTTATTTAAAATAAATTCTAGGACTCAAGCATCTCCTCACTTAAGCACCCAGCCTTGATCTGAAGGATTCAAGAGAGAAAAAATATATCATAATTTAATTTGGTAGGTTTTTCCAGCAGCCATTCATGTTTGTCATTAAGTATTTGTTGTATTTCCAGTAACCGTTTCTTACTAATAATTTCTGTGGGATAATGCTGCCCCCATGATACCCAAGAAACCTGCTCACAAAATGCACAATGGTCATGATTAGTAAAGTGAGGGGTTTTTTTGTAACTTCATTAATGTACCATCCTCTAATCTCTGTGAGTGAGTGAACAGGAGAAACAAATAGGGATTCCCTTCTAGAATACATGGAACAGTTCCCTGATCTTTGGAGATAACTGAGGTTTGTGGCTTACTTATCTTAGCAAATTTTTGCAGTCTGTTGCAAATAATGCCTCATCATGGTCATGGGCACGTTATGTTTCTGTCCTTGACTGCTGCTTCATTTAAGTAATGGAGTAGAGCAGTTCTACGTGTGTAATTAATTATTCCCTTTTCAGAGTGACAGAGGCATCCATCCATTGACACAATGTTATGAAGCACGCTGTTAGCCAGGAATTTAAACTCGAGAAAGGTTGCAAGACTCCTCCAGTCCTCTTACTGCTACTGTATGCTACTCTTCCACACAGATCTTAAGACTATGAGTAATACCCTTAACTGGGCATAAAATGGTCACCATGGATCAGACTAAATGCCTACACAGAAGAGCCGAGGTCTCGAGGACTGTTCCTCTTCTATGATACTACAGTCTCTATGGTATTTCTTGTCTGTCTTTTTGCCCTGTTTTTGCCATCACTTTGCTCCGAGAGTGTGTTAACAGTCCCATGTGTATATGCTTCCGAAATGATTAGAATACATTCCTGCAAATCGGTATCATGGTGCTTATGCCTGGGATTAACACATATACTTTTTTTCTTATCAATATGTCATTTACTTCATAATACAAAGATTGTAAAAATAATTCTCAATACGTATGCATACTTTTCATACACCTTAACCATTGGAATGTGACCTGTGCACTGTTACCATTTAAAACATTCCTTAGGAAAGACTAGGGAAATGCTAAAAAGAATATAAACAGGCAGGTTTTTGTAAAGAATCCATACAGAATTCTTCCATTCTATATTCAATATTGAAACTGGTTAAGTAATTCTATAGTTAACAAAGATGTTCAGTATTTTGGCACATGCTAAA